GACCTGCTTTGTGGGTGACAACGTGACACTGACCTGCCGGGTGACCGAGAGCACGCCGGCAGCTCGGCTCAGCTGGCTCAGGGACATCTCCCAGCCCGAGGAGGAGATCCAGCCTGGGGGGAGGTTCCTCATCACCCAGGAGGGCAACGTGTCCCGGCTCACCATCCAGAACTGCTCCCAGGCCACTGATGGGGGCTGCTACGTCTGCAAGGCCCAGAACCCCGTGGGGCTCAGGGAGCTCTTCGTCTGCCTCACGGTGAAACGTGAGTGGGGCTGTGGCAGGAGGGCCTGGGGGTGCTGCACACCTGAAAATTCCTCATCCAGCTGTGTCCCCTCTCTGCAGAGCCGGTGAACATCGTTGGGGTCGTGGGTGCTGTGGTGGTGCTGTCTCTCCTGACTGTTCTCACTGTCACTGGGGTTGTGTTGTACTACAATCCCCTCCTGTGCCTCAGAGGTAGGGATTGGTTCCTCCTTCCTGGGGCTTTGTCCCCAACCCACCTGTCCCTCCCCGTGTGCTGTACTCAGTCAGGGTTGCCTGTGCCACATCTGGGCAGGTCACCTCCAAGTCTGTGCCTCTGCTTGGAGCTGCCCGGGTCTCCCTTGGGGGAGGCACAGGATTGGCAGGGGTTGTCCAGTCCAGTAAAACCAGTGGCACTCCCACAGGTATGGTGATCACATATCTTCTGAACAGAGAGAGACATAATTCTCTCCCAGGATTTTCCTGGGAAGCTGTGAGAAAGCTCAGAGAAAACAATTCTTATCTTAATCTCTGCACCTGTTGTTGTGCCCATGTGGAATGTGTTATGGAGATTGTTTACCAAAGAGTGATTCCTTAATTGGACTCTGGTGATAGGGTTTTAATTCATTGACCAATTAGCTCCATGTGTGTGTATCAGACTGGCAAGGGTGGTGGGTTTTTCATATAGTATAGTGTGGTACCAATAGAGCACTGATCAGCCTTCTGCAATCACAGAGTCAGTGCTCATGATTCCCCATTCAGGGGCACACTGCTACCATACAGAGGGGCAGTTGCTAATGTTGTCTCTCTTTTCTCTCCCGTTCAGGTGCTGCATTCAGGTGAGTTGACATTCCTCAACCCAGCCCCTCATGGCATCACTACTCAGCCTTCCTGTAGGGCAGGGAACAGGCTCTCCTCAGCCTTTCATCCAGCTTGCTCTGCTCTTCCCAGGAATGCAGACTCAGGGGATGTCCTAGTGCTGGTGGACTCTGAAGATGACGAGGAGGGGAAGGGGTCTGAGGAGGCCCTGAGCAGCTGCAGCGAGCACGAGGCCATGGCGCTGGTGGGTGGGAGCAGGGCCCAGGCTGCTCACCTGAACCGCCTCACAGAAGGTGAGGAGCCCCTGCTCCCTGCTGAGCTCTGGCTCTTCCCAGAGCAGCTGCCAGGGAGGGAGGAATTCTTGATGGCTGTTGTAGCTGAGATGCTGCTGCTCTGTGCCCTGTGTAGGTGACGATGATGAGCTCCACAGTGGGGTCTCTGCACAGGAAGTGAGAGAAGAGGCACGAGGCTCATAGCTTCTGTCCCTCCTTGAGGAAGCACACGGAGCTCCAGCTGGAATCCAGCAGCAAGCAGGCCATCACTGTGTGTGGCTAAGCATAGGCTGTCAGTGCCCTGTCCTAGGACACTTCAGGCACCTCTCTCTCCACCTGCCACTTCTACAGTTTCACTCCATCCTTCTCCAGTCATGGTTCTCCATTTCTTCTCTCTTCCATTTTCCTCCTTGTCTTGGGTGTCCCTAAAACAAGGTGGCACCCAGCACAGGCAGAGCATGGGAGCACCCCCTCACTTCAATGCCTGTAATGGACTCAAATTTCCCATGTGAGATTTTGGCTCAGTCCCAATGAGCAGCTCTGGGATGGACAAAGTCACCACAGGGCCACAGTGGTCCTGGGGCGAGGGAAGAAACAAGGACTGTGTGAGCAGGACATGGCTGACACTGACTCTGGGAAGGCTGAATTGTTTGTATTATGAATATTTTTTTTCCTCTTCCTTCTGCAGTGTTGCTCTGTGTCCACGTCAGGAGTTAATCTATTCCTTGTGTGGGTGTAGGGTAATAGGGACATGAGCATATAGGGGGACAAAGGGGACCTGACAGCACACAGGGGGGATCTGATGGCTTGTGCAGAAGGGAAGCACTCCTGGCACATGCAGAGAGAGGCAGGGTCTGTGCTGTGGGTGAAGTCAGGGGGTCTGAGCCATCCCTGGGGTGTCAGAACAGTGGGAGCTGGAGCAGACCGGGGGGCACAGGGAGGGCTGGGGATGGTGCTGGGGTCTGGCTGTGCACAGTGGTCTCTGAAGGTTCTGAGGGGCTGGAGCAGGATCTGAGGGCTGGAGGGAACGGAGTGTGGGTGGAAGGATGGGATGTTTTGAGAGCGGGAGCCCCCCTGCAGGCAGCCCTGGTGCATTCCCTGTGCCCCGCACCGCGCCCTCGCAGCGGCGCTCGGAGCCGAGCCAGGAAAATCCCCGGGAGCTGCGGGAGCCTCTGGCTGCCCTGGCAACTCTGTTGTGCTGCCAGCACCTCGGCTGTCCCGGCCCCAGCTCCTCGGGCGAGGAGGAGGCACCGCCGAGATGGACCCGGAGTTGGAGGAGCGGGTGCGAGAGGCTTTCCGGGACAAGCTGCGGCTGCTGTGAGTGACACCCCCCTGCCCTCCCCATGGCAGTGACCAAAGGGCTGGCACCAGGCCAGCAATGTCCTGCGTGCCCCGTGATCTCGGCTGGTGTTCCCATCTCCGGGATGGCTGTCAGGAAGGAGAGGACACTGCAGCCACGGGCTGGGGGCAGGCAGGGGGATTCCCCCGGGTCTAACAAGAAAGCTGAGATTGTGGTGTCACCTGTCCTTCCCTAGGGAACAGCACTGGTGCTGGGGGGCTCCAAATAGAGGAGGCTGAAGCGGGAGGGCAAGAGCATGAATGCAGGCAGGGCTAAGGCTGTGTGCCTCCTGGCACCCGGGGGAGCGGGCCAGGCACAGCGGCGGCCCCTGGCAGCCCTGCCCGTGGCACGGTGGCAGATGCCCTGCCCAAGCTTTCCCTCCGCAGCCCGGCCGAGCTGCACGCAGCCCGTGGCAGGACGGGGGCAGCGCGGGGCCCCGCCACGCTGCCTCCATCCACCCGTGTGCTCCTCAAGAGGCGGGAGGCGGCCGAGGCGGAGCGGGAGCTGCAGAACCAGCGGCAGGTGAGGGCGGCCCCAGCCCCCCGGGGCTGCAGGCGTGCCGTGGGGACAAGGGGCTGGCAGGGGTGTCCCCAGCTCCCCTCAGGTGCCCACAAGCGTGGGCGATGCTCCCGACGCCCCGCCATCCCGCAGGAGTTCCAGCAGCGGATGCAGCGCCTGGCGCAGCGCCGTCAGCAGCTGGCCCGGAGGCAAGAGCAGCACCGCGACGCCGTGCTCAGATTCGAGTCCTTCCTCAAGGTGCCGGGCCGGGGGCCGGGGCCGGGCCGGCCGGAGGGTCCCCGCTGACCCCGTGCCCCCGTGCAGGCGGTGGCGGCCCGGCGGGAGCGGGCGCTGCGGCGGGAGGGCGAGGAGCGGGCGCGGGCGGCGGCGGAGCGAGCGGAGAGCGCCCGGCTGCAGCGGGAGCTGGAGCGGCTGCTGCGGCGCCGGGAGCGCCTGGCCCGGCGCCTGCGGAGCCTCCGGCCCTTCGGGGACTACCTGCGGGACGTGCTGGCCAGGATGGGGCAGGTGAGCTCCTGCGGTGCCACCCTGCGTGTCCCCAAGCCCCTCGGAGGGGCCATCCCTGCGGCCCTGCCGCCTCAGCCGCCTCCCACCGCCCAGTTCCAGGACGTGCCGGCCATGCTGGTGCATTTCGGGGTGCTGGCGGAGGTGCGGGCAGCCCTGGCACGGGAGGCAGAAGCCGGGCAGGAGCAGCTGGCCCAGGGCAGGGCACAGCTCCAGCGGTACCGTCAGGAGAGCAGCACCCAGCTCCTGGGCACCAGGAACGAGCTGGCCCGGCTCCACAGACGCCTGGAGGCTGCCCGCCGGGATGGGCTCCAGTGGGTAAGGGGGACGTGGGGTGCCCCAGGACCCCCAGGGGGAGGGGGCAGTACAGACCCCAGATGTGCTGCACAAGGAGATGCCCAGTGTGGTGGAGGTGCCAGGGTGGGCTGCACGCTTCTGGGCTGAGCTGAGGATCCTCACATGCCCAAAAAGCAGCAGCTCTGCATGGGGGGGATACACAGCCAGGACTCCTGGGTCCCTCAGGCATGGCCTAGGGGGCACAGAAGGGCACAGGGCAGTGGCCAGGAGCTCACTCTGTCCCCCAGGAGTCCTGCTGGACCCGCATCCAGAGCACAGCCACCCAGAAGACCCTGCTGCTGGGGCAGATCAAGCTGGCTGTGCTGAACCTTTTCCAGCAAACCACAGCACAGCTCAGGATCCCCACGGACAGAGCCCAGGAGGATACAAAGGCCCAGCTGGACATGGTCAGCACAACACTCTCCCCAGGACAGTGGGGCTGGGGACACACAGGGGCACTTACATCCCTGGATGGCTGTGGCAGCAGTCTCCCATCTCCACAGGTGCTGCTCTGCATGCAGACCCTGGGTGACATCTGTGCCACTGGCACACACCCACAGCACCACAGGAGTGCCAGGCTGCTTCGGGGCCAGGAATAGCCCCTGGGGACACCTGCCTGCTCCTGGGGCTGGGGTGGGGCTGCCAGGGCCAGCATGGAGCCACAGGACCCATGGGGCTGGAGATAATTCCCTGCAAGTCTGGAAACCCCATGTCAAGAGGCAACATGGATGGCAGTGGGTGGCACACTGGGGTGGCATCACACCCAGGCAGGGCCAGGGCACTCCCGAGGTTCCCTCCTGCACAGAGCACGCCAGGCAGGAGGATGAGGAGGAGGGAGCTGCTGTTGGCATCTCTGAAGGTGCATCACATCAAAATACACCCAGCCATGCAGCACAGCACTTGCTTCTTCTTGTGTCTCTAGGGAAAGAATCACCCCAGGCACGATGCTTGGAGCAAGGACACACAGAAGCTGGGATGCAAAACCAACCAATATTTACTGTCCCCTTGCCCAGCTCCCAGCCCAGGCCCAGGGGACGCGTGCCCTACACCCTCTTCCTGAGCTTGCCCTTTTTGGCAGGGCCGGCGCGGCGGCCGAAGGCCATGAGCCGCAGCTCCTGCACGCGCTGCCGCCCGCGCGCCCGCAGCCGCTTCAGGCCCCCGCTCTGCAGGAAGCGCTGCTTGGCCGCCTTCTTGCGCTGCTTCAGGATCTGCTGCTTGTTCCTCAGCTCCGAGCGCACCCTGCCCTGCGCCGGGGGCTGCCCAGGGCCTGTGCCTGCAGGGGACAGGGCTGTGCTCAGAGCCAGGCTGAGGGGAACAGTGCAGGGCTCTGTTGCTTGTTTCGGGTACTCACCGTGCCCACGCCTGTGCTTCCCTCTGAACTGCTCCCTGCTGCGTGGCCCTTCCTCATCCTCATCCCGCTCGTCAACCTTGTACTTCTGCTTCCACTTCTCATAGCTGGATTGGGTGGGTTAAGGGAACATGTGGGGGACTCTTCACTTCACCCTGTGCTGTGGTTATCAGACTGTGCTCCCTCCCCTGGTTGCTGCCCTGGCAGGGGATGGAGCCCTGACACACAGGTCCAGCCCTGCTCTTGCAGTGCCCAGGCAGGCAGCAGTGCCCATGGCAGGATACAGGTTGTTCTTGTAGGAGCTGCTGATGTAGCGCCCGCTCTCCGTCCGCACCTTCTTCTTGTCCTCCTGGCCCGTCTGCCCCACAAACCGCTTCTTCTTGCGGTCCCTGCAAGAGACAGAAGGGTGGTGGGACCAAGCAGTGCCACCCCCAGCCCTGATTCCCCCTCCAGCCCACAGGTAAAGCCCACTCACCACTTGAGCAGCTGCTTGTTCTTGTTGAGGTTGTGGTTCTCGTCGCCCATGAGATCCAGCACGGCCCCGGCCGCCTGCTGCTCGAAGGCGCTGCCCTCACCGCCCACGCTCAGCCTGCCAAGGGGGGTGATGAGAGCAGCCCCCACACAGGCTGGGAGGGGACAGCAGCAGGAGCCCCCCCAAACTTACCCCCGCTCACTCTCAAAGTCCTTGGGCCGGTATGGGATGTAGAAGTCCTCAGCCTGCTGTGCTGGCTGCTGCGGCTTTTTCCTGGGACCATCTTCTCCTCGGCCCCGTTTTCGCTTCTGGCCCCCCACATTGGAGAACACGTCCTGGATGGGGACAGTGGAGGGTTCAGGAGCCACATCCTCCCAATATCCCCACAAGTCTCTGCACCAACCTCAAAAGCCCAGCACAATCTGGGGCCCTGGTGCTGCCAGCACCGGGCTAAGGCGGCTCTGCAGCAGTTCCTGCATCCATGACCCAATTACCTGGAGGTCTTCCTGCTCTCCTTCCCCATCCTGGGGCTCGGGAGGGGCCGGGCACATCCCCTGCCCTTTAAGTGCTGCTGCCCGCTTCTCCTGCTGCCCACGCTGGAACTTCTCGATCAGAGTATGGTCGTGGCGCCGCTTTGATCGCATCACGGTGCTGGCCGGTGTCCGGGACGTGGCGTTGATCTCAAAGATGGTCTGTCCCCAGGGCAGGAGCATCATTCCCAGTGAGCCACATGGGCATCCCATCCCATCCCCTCCCATCCCATCCATCTCAACTCACCGCCTTGGACTTGTAGGTTTTAATGCTATCCACCAACTTCAGCCTCTGCAGCTCGGTGTCTTCGAAGCGAGCTCCTGGGGAAGGCAGGCAGGGACAGGGGCACAGATCAGTGTCATGGGGAGGGCAATGGGGTTCCCTCCCTCGGCATCCCCCCAGCACTCACTGAAGAGGGGGTGCATGCCCAGCTGGGACACATCCAGGTCCTTGGCCCTCTTGATGGACTCGGGCGAGGGGCCGGGCCGGGAGCGCAGGTACTGCTTGTGGGCGTTGTCGGCCACGCGGCGCAGGCTGCGCAGCTCCAGAGAGCTCTCGTGGTCCGTCAGCAGCAGGCATTCCTCATCATCCACCAGGCTCTGCGGGACACGGCCCAGGACCCCGCCAGCATCTGCAGCCCAGAGCAGTGTGTCACCTCCCCAGCACCCAGCCTGCATTTCTCACAGCAGAGCTGACAGCTCCAGGGAGCTCGGCACAGTTCAACCAGCATCCACCACACACAGAGTGTATCACAGCCTTCAACACCCCATTTTCCCCACCACAAGACCACAAACTCCAGAACTGGCCAAGGAGAACACCCCAGTGGCCACACAGCCACCCCTCACCTGCAGGCATCTCCTGGGCTCCAGCGAGGACGAGTGGGCGCCCCAGGAAGAGGTGGAGGTCGAACACGTAGGGCATCTCATCGGGAGCCACCAGCGAGTAGGCAGTGCCACTGCGGCCAGCTCGGGCCACACGACCTGGCACGGGCAAGAGGACAATGGGAAACCATGCCCAGCCTGGCCCCACCCAGGCAAGGGATCCCCAGTGTCCCTGGTAGTCTACACACGTGACATTTACCATAGGGGCATGGCTGGCAAGGAGCAAGGGGAAACTCTACAGGGAAGGTACCAATCTTGCTCCCAAGAGCCCTCACAGTCCAGCTGGGACATCAGGGACCCTGACACTGCTTTGTCCCCAGTCTGTCCCTCAATACCACAACACAGTGAGGGCACTGGCACCCACCGACACGATGCAGGAACAGCTTGCCCTTGGCAGGGAAGCTGAAGTTGATGACATTGTCCAGCATGGGGATGTCCAGCCCCCGGGCAGCCACATCGGTGACCAGCAGCACCGGGCACTTGCCCTGGGAGAACTTGGCAATGTTGATCTTGCGGGCAGTCTGGTCCAGAGAGCTGTAGATGTGGGTGCAGCGGATGCCCTGTGCCATCAGCAGCTGGGAAAGGGAGAAAAGATTGGATGGATGTGCCCTCAGCAGAGAGACAGGGCCAGAGACTCCAGAGTGGCCACGTGCACTTCCAAATCCTGAAGTGCTCCCTCCTCTCTCTGAGGGGTGAATGGATGCAGCACTTCCATGATGACATATTCTGAGATTTCTCCTTCAACCCAGTGAAACAGAGGGAGAGATTCCAGCAGGGACCTGCCATGGCTGCAGAGCCCACATGGGCACCCCCAAATGCCACTCACCTCCCTCAGATATTCCGTGTGGTGCTTGGTGGCCACGAAGACAACTGTCTGGTCCTGGGGTTTCACCACGCTGCGGAGCAGGTGGAGCAGCACGGCCGGTTTGTCGTCCCCACGCACGTGGAAGAACACCAGCTGCAGCACGAGGACAGCGCTCAGCCCCATGCCACCACTGCCACCCTTGTCCCCTCCTCGGCAGCAGGGGGCTTGCAGTGGGTAGGGGGCACAAAGCCCCTCTTGAATTCCCCCATCTCACCTTGAGCTGCTCACTCAGCTTGGACTCCACATCCAGGCGGATCAGCATGGGCTCAGTGAGGCCTGTGGTGACACACAGGACATGGGTCACTCAGGGGTGTCCTGCTGGGGACACCCGCTTGGCCCAGCATTAATCCAGCCTGGTTTTCCCAGTGCTAGGCTTGGCCTGGCTGTGGGGCTGTGCCGTGTCCCTGTCCCCAGTGCCACCTGCCCCAGGTCCTCACCAGCCCGGGCAAACTCGACGAGCAGCTTGGGCAGCGTGGCGGAGAACAGCACGGTCTGGTGGCAGTCCGGGAGCCGGGCAATGATCTCCTGCAGCTGCTCAGCAAAGCCCATCTCAAAGAGCCTGCAGGGAGGGGATATGGGACATGGCAGGTCCCTCCCTGGGCCTCTCACCCGTGTGGGGACACTGCCAGCCCTGGGGACAGCCCTGCTGACCTGTCGGCCTCGTCAAACACCACGTACTCCACGGTGTGCAGCTTCAGCTTCATCTCCACTGCCACGTGCACCAGGCGCCCAGGGGTGGCTATGATTCTGTGGGGACAGAGACGGTGACAAGACCAGGCCAAGGGGGAGACAGTGTCCCCACACCATCCTGGAAGCAGGTCCCAAATCCAACCCAAAGATGACACAATAGAGACTCAGTTGTCCCACAGGAAGTTGCTCCAAGGGAACACCAGGAATGCCCATCAGGCACACCAGCTCTAAACACCAGTGATGTTCCCAGATGGCTGGTGGCCATTTCCCCACTGGGTCCCCTCCCTGTGCCTCACTCACATGTCAGGGTTCTCATGCAGGGCAGCAAACTGGTCCTCCATCCTGTGAGAGAGGGGAGAGGCTGGGGTGGCACCGGGCAGCTCAGCCCCTCACCAGGTTTTGGGGACGTTCAGAGAAGCAGGGATTGGAGAGGACATGGGGACAGCTTACTTGTCTCCTCCCAGGATTAGGGCTGTCTTCAAGCCAGTGAACTTGCCCAGCTGCAGGGCAAGCAATAAACATATTGGTGGGATGTAGAACCAAACCCATTGTCCCCATTGTTCCCACTCATCCCCATGTCCCCTGTACCTCCTTGGTGAACTTGAGGGTCTGCAGGGCCAGCTCCCGGGTGGGTGAGAGGATGAGGGCGCGTGGCCCAGCCTGGCTGGGCGCCTTCAGCCGCTCGAACATGGGGATGAGGAAACAGGCCGTCTTCCCACTGCCCGTCCGGGCCATGGCCACCACATCCCGGCCACGCAGGATGGCAGGGATGGTCTGTGGGACACCATTGTCATCGTCACTGTCCCACTGCCACCCCCTGGGACAGGGACCCCACCGCTCCCCAGGCTCACCTTCCTCTGGATGGGCGTGGGCACCTTGTAGCCCTTCTTCATGATGCCCTTGAAGACAGGGTAGCTGAGGCCTGGGGGAACAGGGACAAGTGAGGGGGCATGGGCAGGAGGGGACAGTCCCTGTCCCAGGGACAGCTGTCCCTTGCCTCACACGCACCCATGGACTGGAAGCCCCCGGATTTCTTCTTCTTCTGGTTCTGGGCCCGCACCATGGCCTGAGTGTCCAGCTCAGTGTCAGCGTCGGCGCCATCGTCCTCTTCGGTGGCCGTAGGGAAGGCGGGCAGTGGGGTCGCAGGCACCTGGGGACCTGGCTGTGGTGATGGGTCAGGTCACTGCAGCTCTGCACTGTCGGCATGGCAGTGCTGGTGACTGTGGCTACTGGGGACATTGGCACTGGGACATGGGTATTGGGACACTGGCACTAGGACACGGGTACTGTGGACTAGGGTACTGGGACACGGGTGCTCAGGACAGCGGCATTGGGACACTGGTCGTGGGGATACTGGTACTGGGGACACGCGTACCAGGAATACAGGCACAGGGGACATTGGCACTAAGGACAGCGGCACATGGACACCGGCACATGGACACCGGGGCCGCAGTACCGGGCGCAGGGACACCGGCGCAGGGACACGGGGCGCAGGGACACGCCTCGCTCGGGCCCAGCCCGTTTCCACCCCGCTCCCGCCCCGTCCCGTCCATTCCCGTCCCATTCCCGCCGGTACCGGCGCTCCGCGGGGCTGGCGGCGGGCTCGCGGCGCCATGTCGGTCCCGGCGGCGGATCCACGTGTCGGGGGCGGGGACGGAAGGGGGCGGAAGGGGCCGGCCCGGTCCGAGCCTGCCCCGGGGTTGCGGCCATGCGGGCGGCAGGTCCGGCCCCGGCCGGTGGTGGCTCGGCTGCCGCCGCCACCGCCCGCCCTCCGCGGGGTCCCCGGGGCCGCCGCCGGGTGCGGCCGTCCTTCGTGGACGAGTCGCTGTTCGGCCGGCCCGCGGGGGCCCGCCCGCCGCCGCCCGCCTTCCCGCCGCCCTGGGCGGCTCCGGCGGCTCCCTCAGCGCGCGGCTCCCGGCCCGGCAGCCAGTGCAGGTGAGCCGTGCCGCGGGGCGCTCCCTCCGCTGCCCCGCGTCGGTGCCCTGCGGAGCCCTTCGGCTCCCCCTCTGCCTTCCCCCGCTGTAACCAGCCCGTGTTTCTCCGCTTGTCGCCCTGCAAGGTCCCGAAGCCACGCTCCGTCCTTCTGTGACGAGTCCCTGTTCGGTGCCAGTCCGCAGGGTCCTGCCTGGGCAGCTCCGCGGATGAGGAAGGAAGATGTAGCCAAGCTCCACTCGCTGCTCTGGAGCCCCCCGCCCGTCCCCCAGAGCCAGCCCGGCCTCTCCCCACACCGCCGGGGCGCTCCCCTGCGAGCCGTCCATCCCCCGGCCTCCGCGCCCCCGGCCACATCCGAGCCCGGCCACAGGGAGAAGTTGTGTGCCTGGAGACACCCCGGGAGCGATGCTGGCCCCAAAGGCTGGGCTGCTCCTGGCAGAGCACGCTCCCAGTCTGTCAGCCGGCTGAGCACCCCCCCGGACAGGATTCGCCTTTCTTCCAGCCTCGGCACAGAAAGGTGGAAGAACCAGAGCGCTCCAACAACCCCTGCTGCCCCCCAGGGCCCTCTGGTGAGGGGTCGGTCCAACAGCGTGTCCGGATCTCCTGTGCCCAGGAATGCCAAGGCAGCAGGTGGCTGCACAGCCAGACCCCCCTGGAAGTGATGCCAAGTGTCCCTCTGGATGTACATCCAGCCTTAGTCTGCCTGAGGCCAAGCCCACCAGAACCCTGGGCTTTTCCATGGCTGGAAACGAAGGATGGGGCTGTTCTGTGCTGGAAGCCAAGCCAGGAGCCAGAGGCGACCACAGTGCTGGGAGCAGTGACCTCCTGGTTCAGGGCACACCCCATGGCACCAGAGCAGGAGAGCCTTGGTGGGAACAGCACCCCGTGATGTGCAGGGGTGTCAGAGGAGGTTCCTGCTGTCTGGGAAATCCAGCTGGGAGGTTGGAGCAGCAGGAGACAGGAGTGCCCCCAGTGCAGTGCAGGGCCTGTCCGGGCACAGGTGCAGGGACATTGTGGGGACAGGCAGGGGCTGTGCAGCTCCCAGGACAGGGGGTGCTGCTGGGGTGGGGTCCCAGGTGAGTCTGGCTGGGGCAGTTGGGGTCTGAGGGCCTGACAGGGACCTTTGCTGAGAGCAGTCCTGCTCCATCCCACCTGTGCTCGTGCCTGCAGGAATGCAGGACATCCCTTGTCTGACCTGCTTGAGCCAGGTCCAGTCAGGTGGTGGAAACCCCTAGGAACAGAGGCTGCACAGCCTCTCTGGCCTCCTTCCCACTGCTCCACTCCTCAGGGTGGAAATTTTCCCTTTATCTAGTCAGAGCTTTTCTAATTTGATTTTGTGTCTTTTCGTGAGCACAAACCTTGGCCCAGCCCTCATGGCCGCCTCCTCTTTGCAGGTATTGAGAGGCTGCTGAGGCCCTCCCAAAGGTTCCCTTCTCCAGGAAATGAGCTCCATTCCCTCTGCCTCCATGCACAGGATGTGCCTTGGTGTCTCCCTGCTGTCCTTGCTTTGTGCCACCAACACCTTATGGACTCCTCTGACAAAGCAGGACGAGGGAGGACGAGCACAGAGGTGAGGAAAACACTGCCCTGGTCCCAGCTGGATGGGATTTGTGACACACAAGGATCTGTCCAGGGATTTTGGCAGCTCGTGGTGATGAGGTGGTGCTGAGTAGATCCATAATTGTGTGGCTGAGGGTTGTGAGGTGCTCACAGCAGTGCCACGGTGTCACCAAATAAGTGCTCTGAAACAAATCTGGGATCTGTGGGATGCTGCTGAGGGACCTGTGCACCTCCAAAGCTCCTCCACTTCAGTTGCTGAGGTGGGAAAGAGCAGCTCTGTGTGTATGGAGGTGGATAAAGGACATGGGGTGGGTGATGTGGGTTTGCAGTCACTGCTCCCTGGGGAGGGAGGCTGCAGTGAGGAGCTGCTAGGGTTACTGGGAGTTTGGTAGCTCCCATGCTGAGGGAAACACTCACATTCACCCAAGGTTAAGAGCATCATTCTGCCCCCAGAAATGATTTTATTGCACCTTGAGCAGCAGCAGGATGGAGCCTTGACCCACTCCAGCAGGTGGAGCTGGAGCCAGCCAGGAGCCTGCACTGAGGGGAATTTCTGCTCATTTCTGGGACTGACAGGAAGCAAGCATAACCTGACATTATTAAAACCTGAGAAGGTGAGTGAGGATCCTTGTGATTCACTCCAAGCTCTCAGATCTCTCCCTATGCTTCCCACTGAGGCAATCCAGCAGCTCTTCTCCACTTGGGGTAAAATTGGAGGGACAGGAAACAACTGTGGCCTTCTCAGAGGAGGGGTTGGCAGTTCTGGTGTCAATCCCAGCCTGATCAGCTGTGTTTGGGATGTAGGCGCAGTGATGTGCAAGCTGTGAAGGCTGCAGGTGTCACTGGGCTGGGAGAGAGCCCAGATGTGGTTTGGACACTAGATGGAGACAAGAGGGTTGAGGATTGACACGGGAGCAGGAATGCTGTTCAGCAGCACGTGGGAGATCCAGAGAGGCGAGATCTCAGCAAACTGGGGGAACTGCCCTGGAGTCTAAGGGAAGCCTCTTAAAATAAGGCGAGATTTAATCTGAAAATCGAGTTAACAGTGGCCTGTGTGGCCAGGATTGGCCACTTTACCGCCACTGCTGTGCTCAGGGTCTGAGGAATCAGTGGGGGAAACTAGAGCCCATCTCATCAGCCACACTTTGCTGTCCCACACTGGCCCAGGTTGTCACCAAGGCCTTCCAGGAGGTCAGAATTGGCACTTCTTGCTATTTACACGTGAGGACAATGTTGTTTAAGTATAAATGTGTTGTTTGCATTTTGTTCCATGATTCTCACTCACATTGGTGCTTTACTGTTGCCTTGTCCTCTTGTTCTGCCAGAGCTGTGCAGTCCAGCATGAGAGCAAAAGCTGCTCTGTTACTGCTGGAGCTGGTGCTCACGTGAAAAAAACCCACATTAAATCTGAATGAAATGAGGTGGGGGAAATGTCCAGTTGTTTCCTCCCTGCAGTCCAGCCTGTCACTGGTGCTCAGCTCAGGCCAGAGTTATTGGTACAGAGGCCTGTACCCAGCTGGGGATCCTCCCTGCTGCTGCTCTCGTTTTTCTGCCTGCTCAGCACTGACACAAATCTCACTCTCCACCTCTGACCCCACCCTGCCTTGTTGCTTATTGGGGGTTGAAGCTGTGTTGCTGCAGGGCTGCTTTCCACTGAAACCAGCGGAGCACTGGGCTGGAGCGGGACCCTCCAAAAGCAGCAGAGCTGGCAGAGCTGACCTTGGCAGGCTTCGTGTCCTGCAGGACCTTTGGAGAGCCAGCGCTGCTGGATGCCCCTCACGGCACCCACTGTGCCAGGGCACGGCTGGGCTGCACTCGGGCCCGACCCGTTCCTACCGCCAGCAGGGTCTGCGCACAGCGAGACCCTGTTCTTCTCCGTGCGGCCCGGGGAGACGCGGCTGTCCTGGCCCGGGAGCACCGCGGGGTCCCGGGCCCGCTCCCCTCGGTCCCCCAGCCGCTCCCGCCCGCGTTCCGCCGTTGCCCGGTGACCGCTCCTCTCCTGCCTGACCTTGGGGCGGGGCCTCAGCACAGCCAATGGCAGCCCCCGCTTCACTCCCCCAGAGCCCACCCCCGCCACCTCGGACCAATCGGCACGCCCATCTGTCTTGAGGGACAGCGCTTCTATCCAATGGCGAGGCGAAGTGCGTGAGGCGGGGAGGGGAGGCGGGGTTAGCGCGGATCCTCTGGCAGGCGGTGGGGGCAGGCTGTGTACGCGGATTGGCGGGAGCCGCAAGGTCCCGCCTCCTTGGGCGGGGCCCGTGCTGTAGCAGCCAATGGGAGGCGGGGGGCGGGGCGCGGAAGAGCCGCGTCGCTGCGGGCGCCGGTTCGGAGGGGCCGGGCCGGGCCGGGGGGTGCGGGGGTCCCGGGCCGGGCGGTCCCGGAGGGTTTGGAGGGTCCGGAGAGTCCCAGGGCCGCGGGCAAGGGGGCTGGTAAGGAGCGGGTTCACCAGGGCTGGGAGGAGGGCGCGGGGAGGGCGCCGGGCCGGGCCTCCCCGTCGCGGTGACAGCGGCGTGCCGGTGTCCCTCTCACCGGACAGGGACAGCGGCTGTGAGCTGTCCCCGTGGCGCCGTCCTGGGCCTGCCTCATCTTCCTTTTCCATCACCTTTTAGAGCAGTCCGTGACCTTGTGGCATCGCGCAGTTCGCAAAAGCGCTCCGGGAACTTGATGTGCGCGGACTGCCGGCGGCCCCGGGTGCTGCGGGGCACGGACGGAGCCATGTGTGCCCGGGACACCTAGCGCCATGCCGGCCCTGCTCCCGGAGCCGCGGCACCAGCAGCTCGCCCAGGAGCGGTTCGTGCTGCGTGCCCCGGCCGGGAGGGGCAGCCCCGCCGTGTGAGCTGAGCCCTCACGGCCCCACCGAGCCCGCACGGCCCCGCTGATCCCGCTGTCCTGCGCTGTTCAGGGAGCTCGGCGCTGTCCGGAGATGGGTGCGCGCAGCGCGGTGTCCCGGTGCCCCGCAAGCCGCCCCGGGCTCGGGCCGGCCCGGCAGAGCTGCTGACACCCGCGCCGCCCCAGAGAGCTGCGGAGAGCCCCGGGGCCGCCGCCGGAGGGACGGCATGGCGGTGAGCATGGACGATGATGTGCCGCTGATCCTCACCCTGGACGACAGCGGGAGCAGCGCCTCAGCCCCTCTGGATGAGCCGGACCGGGAGGAGCTGCCCAACGAAAGTAAGAGCGCTTTGTCGCTGCCCGCACGGGGTTTGTCGCGTTGGGGTGGCCGCTGTTCCCGCTGGGACCGGCAGAGCTGGGCTCGGTGTCGGGGCTGCCCGGTAACAGCGGGTCCGGCTGCTGCCGCTCGTTTATTGCTCACAGCTCCCTGTGACACCGCGGGGCCGGACAGGTCCCACCAGTGCTGTTTGTACCACACAGTTTTGTGGTTTCCCCCATGACCTTAAGCCCTTTCCTGCACGCTGTCCTTCCCTTGGCGCTGTCCCACTGCAGTTATCTCATGTCTTTTCCTAGCACCATAAACATCTGCACTTTGTGAGGCTTGTTTTGTCTGTTTCTAGTTTACATCCTGATTTTTCCAAGAAGAGAAGTATTGATAAATGCCTTCCACGTCTTTGTTGTGCTCTTATCAAAGAGCCTGCAGTAGTTTTAGACAGTATGTGCTGTTCAGTGGGGCTTTGCCAGCCTGTGAGCACTGGCAGGGGGAAAACAGCAGCCACCATGCCTCAGAAGCTTTGCTTTTCTCCTCAGTGTGCCTTCATTAAAGCCCTCGCCCTGCAGCAGGCTGGATGTGGCAGCAGATGTGTCTGAGTGTGTTCACAGAGTTTCTGGTTGGTGTTACACCTCGTGGATGGATCTGTGCAGTTTTGTCCAGCACATCCCCACGACTTCTAATTGCAGGTGCACACACGCAGCTCTTGTGATCCAGCCCTTGCTGCCACAGGCTGAACTTTTGGAACAAATGCATTGTTTCCTGGCCAGGCATCCCTTTCTTCCATGTTATAGCTCTGTGCCATACTGCCTCTGAGATTTAATACCTCTAGCAATAAGATGAGTTCCCTTATGGCTTCCCAACCCAGGAATTAATTTTGGATAATCAAGATTCTTCTTCCCTCCCCCTCCTCCTCCTCCTCTGCCACCCCACAATACAGATCCCTGAATAAATTGCCCAGTTGACTTTCTTTGAGCTCTGTTTTATCCTTGCTTCATCCCATCTGTTTGTCTTTT